AAAGTTCCAGAAGCTTAAAAAATAACTATTTTGGTAGCATTACGTAATAACTGCGTGACTTAACGAAATGTTTTAGGTAGTCGTATGGTATGCATGCGCATGAAGCATGACTAAGCTGTCTAGAGATTTCAAGAAGCTTATATTTGCAACAACAATTATCCATAACAGTCATAACAGTGTTTTGAAGGTGTTGCGCGACAAAGCCAAAGGGACTGTCCGAACAGCGAATTTCTTGTTCTTCTGTTGCTATTGAAAGAAGATCGCAGCTGGAAAAGAGAGCGTTGATATATATTCATTAGAGCTCATTACGTATTTTTTTTGTTTCCTTGGATCTTGTAGCTTTTTGGCCGATAACAAGCTGACATCTGTACCAGATTTGACAGGTCCTAAGACTCTAGGTTCCTTGTAAGTAGCTACAAGAGATTAGAATCTTCTGGTAACTTCTATCTTTTGCTGGATATAGCAGTTATTTTATTGCCATGCGTGGGAAGGAACCTTATCTCAGAATGTTGATAATATCTTTCACGGGTGAGCGATATTATAGAATTGTAAATGTACAAAGAGAGGTGTTAAAAAAAATAAACAATCATCTATCGTTCTAGTCTAGTGATAATCTGGTCAGTAAAACAAATGAACGTCATCATCATTAGAACGGGGGAGTGGTCACTATACAGTTGACTTCTATCATATTATTGAGCTTAAGTTTATTTCAGTATCAACAATGTCAAATTTAATTGCTCCTGACTCCCTGATTCTTTTTTCTTCTCAGACGCCTACAAGGGAATCGGATCACAGATTTATCCAGAATTGCCACATCTGGAATTGGACAAGTGTTTGAGCTGTAAGTATTTGATCCCAATTGAACTGAATGTTTTATTTTTTTTAATTTTTTAATTTTTTTCTTTTTTGGGGGGGGGGGGGGGAGCGATACTTATTAAGAAACTTGCTTCCTTTTTATGGATGCCTTGGGTTATAGTCAAGTGTGCTCCAGCTCTACTAACGTTTTAAAATGTTGTCTTTATCTTGTAGATTGTTGGACAACAATAAGATCCATCACCTTCCACCAAACATATTTCAGAATACTCTCGTAGTAGGGACCCTGTGAGTAACCGAAACTACAAGAATAAGGGGGTTTTCATTCTATGGCTGCCTTTGATAGTATTACATAAAAAAAGTAGTCACTCTCAATGTGTATCCATATCATGATTTCCTCTATTACAAAAGGCAGACATGAAAATGCAACTGTCCCTTCAATTTTTGCTTAGTTCTACTTTTTTTCATAAAACATGAAAACTAAGGGGAACTTTCCTGCAGTGTTTTCAGATAACTTCAAGGTTTGGCATTTAGGTCCGTTCCTTTAAGTGAGGATGAATCTACACGTAACATCTTTTTTGATCAGACTGTTTCTAAGTCTCCCTTTAGGTTTTTTCAAGAGATATTAAACTATTTATAACGTATTGGTTTTTATTGTCGATAACGTTACTTTTCTGATCTTTCCATAGCGATTTGTCCTTCAACAAACTGCAGTCATTACCAGATGAAATATTTAATAGGCTCGATCAATTAAACATTCTGTAAGTAGATCGGGAAAACTTTGTCCCAAATGAATTTTCATTTAATAATACATGATCAGGTCGAGATCACCCCCTTCTCTTAAAACATTGTTAAACAACTGTGGGTATATAACCCAATACGGAGCGAGTTTCATAACTTTCTGATCTTATGATACAATCCTTGTAATTTGCCCCCAAAAGGTTTGAAATAATTTTAATTCTTTTCTTTCAAAAGTAGACCACTAGTGACATCATATCATTTTGGCTAAGCAACCCATTGTTACTAATGTTTAATTTTCAAGGGATGAAAAATACCTTAAAATGAAAACTTCGATATAGGACATCATAAAGAGTTTTCCTGGAGGTTTATTTCCATTAGTTCAAACTATGACCTAATCCTGCCTTATGTTCAATATCCAAAAATAATAATTACTCAGATAATGACGTCATTTTCTGAATTTCGGTGTTTCAGTGTTTATGACCAATAGCAATTTAAGATATTAGGCAGTAATTTCAGTGAGTTTTCTTTTGTCTCAAGAAAGCACAGGATTGGATAATTTTCCGTCCGCAAAGGTGTTCGTGACCGATCTGGCAGCCAATGTTTACATAAGATAATCTGGTTCATCAATCGGCCAAAAGTTTAAACTGTTCCTACCTTTCTCGTTTCACTTCAGATCGTAAACAATCGAAGCGATCCAGTGTTGCGTTTGTGTCTGATCTTCCCATTTTGCACTACCATACGAGAAAAACCTCAAAAGGCTCAACGCTTTAACAAGACTGTGCATGTTAGTTAAGGGGAAACATACGCGTTGTACGCGTACAAGAGTTTTTATTTCTTTTTTTTCGGATTGGTGGGTTGAAATGGGACACTGCGTAAATGATGTTTGAATTTTTGTAAACGCTGTGACTAAATGCCCTTTAACCGGACACGGCTCAAATAGACTAAATGTCCAACAGTCAAAAATTTTTACAGATTTTCCACCTAAAGGTTCTTTGAAACTTTTACGAATATCAGATATCTGTTTAGAAATGTAAAGCGATTTCAAATATTAATGTGATTTTTTAGTGGACAAATTTCCGCTACCTCATCACTCTTTCACAATACATGTTTTGAGTTGAGTGACTAGCAGACACCTTATTTTTTTCCCCTGTTCTTAGGGTGCTAACTTTCAACAACATCACTCACATTAACAAGCGCACATTCAGTGGACTTTCCAGTTTGACTACACTGTAAGTGTCCTTTACATACTTTTCTAAAGAGGCGTAAGTCAGGGCTTTAAATAACGTTTTTCATAAGCATTGTAGTAGGTACAGTAGGTGTATAGTGGTGTAGTAGGTGACTGTGCCCGGAGAAGAGGCCTTGAGACCCCTTTCCCTAGGGGAGCCAGGGGGGCACTGTCCCTCAGAAAGAAAAAAAATTGAAATCTGGACCTTAAAAATGTTGTTTCCACCATTTAGACCCTTTCCCTAGGAGAGTCAGGGGCATTGTCCCTCAGAAAGAAAAAAAATTGAAATCTGGACCTTATAAATGTAGTTTCCACCATTTTGGGCATCAAAAAGAGTAGTTTTTGTTATATTTTCATCGACAGCTTAACAATAAGCAAGCTAATTAACAAGCTATTCTTCACCAATCAGAATGCTTAGTTGTAGAGCGTTCGTGGATATACGAAGCAAATCCAAAAATCAGTGCCTTGCAGGGAGGCTCTCATTTTCACTCGTTTGAAAGTTCACGCGAAACCCAAACACAAGAGTCTGTCTGTAAGCTAACCAGACATCGATATGAGGTCTGATGGGCAGCAGTGGGTCACCAGTTACCTGCTTTTACTGAAAGCCTATCAGTACGTCCACTGTGGTGTTGGAAACAAAACAGTCGCTGTGCCCCATGTAAAATGGTTTTTAGTCATTTTCATAAATGATAGCAAACCTCTCAACCTCCGATGAGTTCTCTACTTTAAAAAATTTACACTGAATTCAAACAATGTTGGATCACTCACGGTTTCTGGGAAACCACTCGATTTTTAATCGTCACGATTTATGAGTCACTCGATAAACGATTTACAACGAGACTCGTTTGTTCGAGAATCGAAACGAGTCAAAGCGAAACTCGTTTGACGAAACAAGACTCGTTGGATCACTCACGGTTTCTGGGAAACCACTCGATTTTAAATCGTCACGATTTATAAGTCACTCGATAAACGATTTTCAACGAGACTCGTTTGTTCGAGAGAATCGAAACGAGTCAAAGCGAGGCTCGTTTCACGAAACGAGACTCGTTTGACACAACGAGACTCATTTGACGAAACGAGACTCGTTTGAAGAAACGAGACTCGTTTGACGAAACGAGACTCGTTTGACGAAACGAGATTCGTTCGGCAAACGTCGGCTCTCGGCGCATGCGTAGATGTCTAATTTTTTTTCCCAAGGTTGTTGTAGGGTCGGAAGGTTAGCGCTGAGATATTCGTACCTATTTTCTATGTCTTGGTATGGTAAACGGGTAGGGAAGGCCTTAACCAATATTACTATATGGCTGGTAGCATATATTTCAGCACATAGAAAAAAGCATTGAATATGTGTATCGATTAAAGTTCAAAGCTTCCAGGCCCAATACTAAAGTTACTTCATTCCTCCACAACGAGGGATGACAGAAATTATAACCATCTCAAAGATATAAATTTTGAAAAATAAAGGTCAAATGTTCCTGAAACTTCATGTGTCAATGCAAGGAATATTCTATCATACTGTGCTGTTTTAGTTTTTTTTTCTTTAATGAAGACTGTATTTATAGGATATTCGATCTTAAAGACATGAATGATAATTTCTTTCTTAAAATGAGTTTTTCCTCGTAAACCATCTTTTTATCTCAGGGATATAATCAAAATAAATACAAATTAAAATGAGAAATCTAACTTCGCTACAAAAAAATGTTCTTACATGCTAATGTTTCAGAAAAATTTTCAGATTATTACAGAGATGAGATTGCTTCGGTTGGTCTTGGATCACCAATCTTTCTATCACGACGCAGAAAAAAAGGATAGTTTTAGAAAGAGAGCTTTGATTTATAAAATGATTTTGGTAGAGTTTTTAAGAAACAAACAATGAGGGGAATATATTTGGTTGATGACCATGATGACCAAAACAAAAATTGTTATTGTCTGTAGCATATTTATTATAGCTCAATGATCTCTTTTCCTCTGGAAAATGTTGTCAAATACACCTAACAACTAATACATGTTGGAAAACTTGATATCATTTATTCTCATCATATTTACAAAGAAAACTTTATGACAGGAATGAAAAGAAAACTTAAGGCTAAGTACAAGGCACTGCACAGTCACTAAAGGCTAATTGTTGCTCTCATTTACAACTTCTACTCTTTCACTAGTTTCTTTGTTGCCTTCTTGCAGAGATGCAATATTTTTCTTCTTTCTTCTCTTCCGTGTCTTCTTCTTTTTCTTCTTTTCTAGTTCTGTGGGTATAGTAAGAGAAAATTTTCCACTTACCAGGAATGGTGGAATCAAGGGATTGATCGGGATCAAAATTCCCATAGAAAGACACCTGTAATCAACCAGAGTTTGAATGTTAACTACAACTGTTACAAAATTAATATGATCAATGGAAAAAAAAACTAACGAAGGAAAGGATCCATGTGATTTTTCTCACCTCATCATCTTTTCCAAATATTTCAGTTGCTTCATCTTGTTTCTGTGAAACAACATAGACATAAACCAGTTTTTTGAATTTAATTGTTACTACGTGGCTCTTTCAAGATCCTTTTACATGTTACTTACCCTAGTTATCAGGCACAGTTTTTCTGATTGGAGGAGATTTTTGTTGTGAAGCTTTGCATCAGAAAAAAAATTAACAGATCCAAATTGATGCAATGTAAAATACTGTTGGGAAGTCTCCTGCCCAACTCAGTCATACACCTCCTGTAAATCAATTGATGAGAAAGAATGTAAGCATGTTGATGCTCCATTATTAAAGGCCATGTGTGACATGGTATAGAGTGTAGGCATTATATATATATATATGCCTTATTGTACTTTAAGCTATTTTATTTGTAATGAGTTAGCAGTCAACTGTTTCAGAGAACTCACTTGATATGTTCCTTTTTGTGAAAAATTTCACAAAATTTCTTTTTATTTCCCTGCTATCTTCAAGGAGAACCTCTATGAGGAAACAGTCCCCAGCAGGTTCTTGGGTGAGACGTTTCTGTCTCATGGCTTTTACCTGATATCAAAGCATTGGTTATTTTTCAGTTCTTTGATATATTGAGAAAAGTCAAACACCCAAAGCATGCAGCATAGGCAGCTTACCACAGTGTAAATTTGTTATTTGAAGATCATCCTCAATTTGGTTGCAATTGTTCAAGTATAATTCCCCCTTTGTTGATGTTGGCAACAATAATTTATGACCACATGAAAAAGAGACATCAACACTAAGAGGAGAGAGGGCTGTTTGAACAATAATTGACCATGAAATTAATTTGCATTTCTTTTTCGCAGAAAGTTAAACCACAACAATTATACTACTCAACTCCTTTTCCACCACGGTTATGTCAAATTTTCACCAGTTATGGCAGCAAATTAAATTCATAGAACATGTTTTTGCACATTGGGGGTTTAAATTATTTGTTGCTTTGAAAAAAGGTATCCAGCAACAATAATTATTTTGGTTTAATTTGTAGTTTAAGGAATTTACTTACCCTTTTCATTTTCTCTAAATTAGGGGAATCTTCTGCTCCTTCTTTCCCTAGGGCAATTGTCCCTGACCCTTGTGCTACTTGACTAGTTAAATGAAATGTTTATAGAATTTTCTTAGACATTTATCAATAGTTGAATATCATGAGTGGAGTCAACTCTGAGAAATGTTTTGATCCAATTTGACACAAGAAAATTTTCAGATGTTTTAGCTAACATTAATTCTTTGGAAAAATAAAATTATTATATTATTATATTTATGTATTTTGATGCGATTGTTTTACCAAGAAACATGATATTTGCTTTAGATTTTGTTGTGATATGTTATCGCCCACCTTTTTGCTGAAAGATGACAACATTTTTGGGTGTTGTTTATGATACATGAAAAGGCAGTAATTGTACATGAAATTTGTCCTTTTGTTGATATTTCTGGCTCGTGACTTATCTCTGCATCCAAAACATTTATAACAAACTGAAAAATTAGATATTCTAAAATGATTTACTCACCAATCCTTTGTAGAGGTGGATGGTAAAAGTCCACATAAGCAACGAATTGCATGTTCCAGTTGTTCATCAGATACCTCTTTTAGGGATTCTCCTAGGTGTAACAAAATGTCTGATGCTGATTGTAAAACTAGCTTAAAAGCTTGGTAACCAGTTCAATATTTATTCAAGATGTAAACAAAACATTGTTTAGAACTATTAGGACAATTTAAGGAGACAGATTTTTAAGGCAGCAATTTTTCATATGTTACAATTTTAGTTTAAATTTATATGCATCTCCTCAACCAATTGACTCCACAGAGTAGATAAGTCTTTGAGCTATTTTTGCTATTATGCACACCAGGAAGGAAAATATACAGATTCAGACTCTACAATAGCCTTCAGAAATACATTCTTTGTTTTATTTAAGAGGGTTTGATAATTTTAATTGATTGGCAAAATCTTTAAACTTACCTGAAAAGCAAACATTAAGACAGGGGTCATTTGGTTTTGGGGTTAGGATCATCAACTCACTAACTGGAGCTTTTCTTCCAAATGTGGTCTTTACTGCAAAAGGAAAATATTCAAGTATTTTAATGAATTTGAATGTTATGTTTTGATTTGGGGTAGCTATTTGTTACAAATGTTGGTGGTGCTATGATGAAAGGAACATTTCTCTGGAGTCTTAATTATCTGATTAGAGTGACAGGTTCTAGACATCAACATTAACAACATTGGTTTTACCCATAAATGTTAATTTCATGGTTGTAAACCTATTAAATTCTTTTAAATCCAATTCTCACAACCTGTGCATATATTATTATTCTATTATATACTGGTATATATTTTAATCAACAATATCACTACCTTGTCTTCCAGTTTGGCTTTTAGCATTGTCAATCCACAAGATGATGGACTTAAATTGTGCCAAGCACTTTAACAACCTATTTAAGGTGAAACCAAAGGGGAAAAAAAGGATTTCAATTTATTAAAACAATGGAGCATTGGTTTCTTAACAGATAGATTTGCTTCAAAACATGATATCAAGTGTCTTAAGCATCACAGTCTTCATCAGTTGAAGAGTTTTAAGGTAAATATTTCTAGGTTTGGAAGCACTTAAGAACTTAAATGTTGTAATTAAGCAATTTACCTTGCCATGTGTTCGTCATTGTTCCCAGTGTAAAATAGGGCCAAGCCTAAAACTTTCTTGGCTCTTGCCACTTGATGGCATCTACATTTCCAAACAAACATCCAAGAAAGAACAATGTATTGATATATGCAATTAAGCAATTTTTGTGAATATCAAAAAGTAAATGTTAAGGAAGCACGTGATATGAGAACAATAATTGTGGCTGTCAAATTTTGATATAACTGTGGGTGGCTGACAAGCGAAATATGACAGGTAATCAACACATACCTCCTCGAAGATGACATTCACAAATAGGGGCTGGACATCTCTTTGCTCAAGCACCTCTTGGAAGCATCGAAAAAGTTCACTGAATTGACTATCATCTGAAATGAAGAGAATGTAAACATTACCGGTAACAAGGAAGTAATTAACAACTATGAATTCATGTCCCACTCAAAACTTCAACTTTTAATTATGTATCTGCTATACAGATGCAAATTTTATTCTGGAAATAGGTTAATAATAGTAACATAAAATGTATAGCACAAACTGGCACAGGCTTTACATCTTTTACTGTTCACATTATATTCTTCAGCTCCATAATTTACCCTAATTTTATTATCATGACTCATTACTTTTTCGATCCTTTCCTCTCTCTTGCTTCCAGTATGACTGTACTAGCAATTAATAAGGCGTCAACTTCGTAGTTAACTATTACTAGAAATTTGTGGGTTGTTTGATATCATGGGATTTCATTGTATTCAGGATAAGGATTTGTTGAATTGTTGCTGTTTACAAACCATCAAACCTGCATTCTACCTCTTTCCTGGTGTGCCGCAATTGACTTTGTGGCGTTATTTTCTGAGGTTGCCAAGACAGACTTCATCAGGCTGTCATCGTCAGAGTCTGATGTTACAGTAACTGCAACACTGTGGCCAAATTAATTCAAACATGGAATTGTTTCGCGTAATTCCACTCAAAACCCTTCTGGCTACTGGAGGGTAATCAAAACCTTTGCTAGGCATATATGATATTGTAATAGGGCTACGTGGCACTAGCTTACTTGTAACATAAGTTGAACTGTGAACTTGTACAGCTGAATTTAGACACGTACTTACCTAGCTCTCGACTCTTCCATTGTGCACAACGTAGCAACCGGTATCATTTCAAAAGCATAGATGTGTCATCGTGTCGCAGACATGGATTGTTTACGCGATGTATTCCATTCCATTCCCGTTAAGCAACTTCCAAAACGATTGCCATTCTCGTCTAACGCGTACCATTGTGGCTGTAGGCGGACCTCTGGTTTCCTTTCAAAGCTGTCACATCAAGTTGGCACACGCTGTGCTTGTTAAAAATTAAAAGGAAAAATACATCAGAGAGAAAAAAGGCGTGCACGAAGCTCGTTAATCGAAGATGTAAATTACGACCTTGATGGCGACGACTCAAGAAACGGTTTGAGTAGTTTTAAAATTGTGTGATATTCCCGCAAAGTTTGTGGAAAAGTTCTGTTTTTTATCAAAGTTAGACTGTTGTTGTGGTTTGATTCGTTTGAGGACAACGGTTCTATTGTCTGATAACTTCAAAGACCTTTTCATGGGATAGTTCAACCCAGGGTCATCTTGGCTTCTTGTCAGCGGTATGGTCGCTAAAGAATGACCTCAGAGAGAATGAATTAATTCAATTTTTGGATTGATTGATGGAAAAACGATGGACTCCACACAGAAAGTGTGATTTTCAGAAGGGATCGATCGATGTTTTAACTATTGTTTTTTTTTTTTTTTTTTGCCTGAAAGTTTTCAATCGTAAACTGCCTATCGATGCGTGGAAAACATCCATCCAAAGCCGCTGTATGCTGCAATGGCGGGAAGCTGTTTTTCATGGAACGATGGATTGCTGTTGTTCCTGCCAGAGACGTACAAGTACAGATAAATCATTTTATTTAGTTGTTTCGAGTAAAAAGCAGAAAAGAAGGCATTGTAGAGGCCGTGCAAGCGAGCGGATATGTAAATGTACTCGGAACTGGTTAGATCAAATGACCACCACAAACCGTATAATATTAAGCCAAGCTTTAATAATTATTCGATCTAAAAGAAATACATTTATAATTCGCAATTAGAAAAAACGCAAATCAAGACTTTATCTTGTAACTAAATTAAAAAACTTCGATATAAACTTACTTCTGTGGCGGGTCGTTACAACAGTCTCACTTTAGGGGTTAGCAGATTCTCCAGGTAAGCGGATTTAGAGACAGAAAAACGATAACAAAATAACTTCTTTCTCACTTCGATTCTGCTGAAAAACTGACTTAAAACGTCATAATCTAACGCTTTTAAATCAATCTATTGAATTAATGTCAATCACGATTCTTGTCATCGGATAAATCTGTCAACATGAGGCAACGCCTATTTATTAAACGAAACATTTAGAAAAGTATATCAGAATAGCATAAAATATAAAAAAAAATAATTAATTGTCGGGCATGCTTGCTACAATCTTGTATTCAGTATCAAAGAAGAAATCGAGAAGTTTTCCTTAATGTGTAAAGAAGATCGCGAAGAAAGAGTTCTATATTTGAAAACACAGAAATGAGGTCTGTCGCCATTCAAAGCCCTTCTCAGGGCACAGTTTCACTATCTGCTTTGCCGCAAGTAAACTGTTCTCAAAATCTATTATACCCACGTCTAAGGTACTCCGAGAAGACACTTCAGATGTTGATGCAGAGGTTTTCCTTTCATATTTATATATGAATCTTAGCTTGTGCAGCGCAGTCGTAGTCGAGCGTAGTCGTCTGCTCTTGTTAATGTATTATTTTATACTTTAAAAGAATATCTTTTTTGTTCCTTAAAATACAAATGAGATTATCATTGACCCAAAATCGCAACTTTGCTATACAGCTACAAGAAATCGATTGAATGTGTGGACTGAAAGCACCACGATTGTGTTTTTTCTATAGCCACATTCTCCGAACCCGGAAAGTCTACAGTTTTAAGATTTCAAAGAGACAAACAAGGAATCAATAGGGATTGAAATACTTGAGAAGGCTGGCCATAGAAATCCTGAGGTCCTTTAGTGTGAAGGTTTTACATATTGTTAGATTTAAAACTCAAACACTCGATCTGTTCACTTGACTCTTTCTTTAATTCTCTTTTATTACACAAGTTCCTACAGCGGGGACTAGCTCTGATCTCTGGAGGAAAGTGTGGGTCACCGCATATAAAGGTGACCCTTACTGAGCTGTCAATCTCTAACCTTCGTCGTGCTTTTACACTTAACTAGCGGATCACGTCAAGCTACGCAGAGCGGAGTTCGCATACTAAGTAGGTACCTTCGAGATGTTTACGTTTTACAAAATGATTTTCTACCTCAAATTTCTCAGTCTTACAGTCAAGTTCGGGCAAAACAGAAACAAGATTGACAATATAAAAATTATAATAAACCCACTAACAGAATTAAAATCAAAGTTGAGGAGTTACCCTAAGAGAAAACAGTCCTCGAAGACTGCTACATAACGACAGAATAAACAGAAAATTCAGGGAAGGAAGAGCGTACCCAAGGTACCGCCTCCAAGAGAGCAATGTGCTATTCGTATAAGTTCCCTGATTATAAATTCAGTGCAGAGGGTGAGAAGCACTACATGTTTACACCTCAGGTCACCTCTAAGAAAAAGAGGTGTCGAACGTGTTAAAATAAGACCGCCAAAAGGAATAAGAAATGATCAACTGGCTTCTTATAATTTTTACTGAATGGCTTATGGTAATATATTTATTCTATTTATTTTCAACATTTAAATAAGTCAAAAAGCACCTATAATGAAAATTCTTGCTAGAAGTCAATTTTGTCTTTTAACAATATTACTACATTTACAGCTTGTTTTGTGATTAACATTTTTTTTTTCACAACCATATTATACTTGTGTGTCATTCAAAATTCCATGTCGAATTTTTGTCCAATTTACCCTGATAAAAAGCATTCTAGAGAGTTTCATTCAAAGTGAAAATATTTACCAATGTTAAGAAAGTTACATTCTGTTTTATATTCAGCTGAGAGAACATGCAAATGCTAAATTAAAAAAAAAAGGATGAAGTATATAAGCTATGGGTTGTATCGCAGACAAGCATTCCAGCTGCAACACTAAAGACTATCATGTTGCTACCTTGTGTCAAAGCATGCGTCAGATTACAGTTTTGGAAGGTCTGGCCTCTATGTCATACATGTAACAAGGAATAGTACCATGCTAGTCTTCCCATGAAGATTTCACTTGGAGCAGCTTATTAAAGAAATGGAAGTAAGAGCTCCTGACTTGCTTGATGCCATGGCCACTGTGACTGTGCCTGTTGCATAAGAAGATGAAGTCAAGTGCCTCCAGTGTGTGTGATATATGGTTAAATGATAAATACCCAATGCAGGGAGCTGAATCTTGTCCAAAAACTCATGACTATCATCCGTTGTGTTCAACACTCCAATTGTAAGACGAATATCATTTTACTGACTAAAGGCAATAACTAAAAAATACGACTTGAGCTCAAAGTTGTTACAGAAAGAAAGAAATGCCATTTTTACTTTTTTTTTTCTAGTGAAGCAAAATCAAAATCTTGAAACAACATCAGCTTAAAAATTGCACAATGTGAACCTTCCATATTTGTCTTTTATCCGGAAAAAAAACAATCGCTAGCTTGATTTAGCAAACTGGATCATGTTCAGTGTGAAATCCTTCGATTGAAAGACACCTTAGCACGCGTGTTATGCACGCAACAAAAAAAGTCCATGGGCCAGAGTAGGTTCTCATTACCACTCGGGGTAGAAAATGTGAGTGTTACCTGATGAAAGATTATGTGAAAGACTTATCAAATTCACTCGATAGCAACCGTGAAAGAGTATAACTCTCATCACTTTCTTGTGTACTCCTTTATTTCAAAAGATGCTTCTTAAACATGGAAACGAGGCCGACAATAAAACGATTATTTCAAGTGACTTCTTCGTTTTTTCTTTATAGAAGGTAAATCAGTATCTTCAACATAAAACATTACTTCAAAATAATTTTTGGCTAAAAGCCACAATTTTACGATTTTATTTGAAAGAAAACTATATCAAAACATAGAGTGAAACTCGAAGAGCATCATGAATAATTTCCAAGATGGCGGCATCGCTGCCTGGTAAGTGCGTTGAAGTTCTTGTGTAACCTTGACGTTTTATGACGCATTTCGTCCAAAATGTAGAGAGATTAGGCTCCTAAAAGTTAAAGCTTACTAACAAAGGAAACAAAAATAAAGACTAATTATTATTTTCTTCTCATTAGCCTAAATACTTGCCAACATTCGAAAGCCGGTGATCGAATATTAACAAGTTATTTTGACATCGTAGAGCTTTGACCAGTTGTTTGAGTTTCTTCGATCACATATATTGGAAAATCCAAGGCTTATCAGGTGGTTGACCTGAGAGAAGCTGACGTCTTACATGCGATCAATGTACGCTACTGAAACACTCAAATTCACACTGAAAATTTTCGAAGAAAATTGGAAACAGAATTGGGTGACTCATTGCAATTGAAGATCTACTGGATAATAAAAAGCTTTTTGTTTCTACCCCAAAATCTGTCCATCTTAAATCAAGGAAATTCAGCAAGCTGGCCTGTACTTCCGTGATGCACTTCTCCCAAATATTAGTACGATGTCATAGCCTCCGAAACCTGCTGAGCTATGTGAAAGTGCAGTCAAACCTCCAGAAGAACTAGATGCGTTTCTATACACTCTCTTAACTGGCAACACACAAATCCCAGCAGAATATCCTGATCGCATCTGGCCCCTTATTGACTCTTTTGGCCAGGACATCATTTACGGAGTTACTCCAGGACTACAAAAACCACCCAAGCAAATACTGTTACGGTATGCCAAACAATAATGAAAATGGAAGTATTCCACACAGCATGCACCATGTTGTCCATCACTGGCAAGCGCCTCCAGGATGCTGGCTTGCGGAACCTGTGTGTAGAGTCTGGTGTGATGGCAGAAGGTTATGTTGCAGAAGTTCTACAGGGACGCAGGTACAGTAGTGGTGTTAGACTCCACAAACTCGTGAGTGAAGCCCTTATGAGACTGGCGTGGCAAGGATTCAGGGCCTGGATAGAAGAGAATTCTAAGCAGTCCAAGAGTATCGTTGAGAGCTTATTTGGTGAGATTGGCGATTTGTATGATGATATCTGCAAAAGGTAGTTCCAGAAGTATATGACCAGTGCTTGTAGTGTCAATTTTGTCGATCTTTTTGACAAGTACATGGCGTCTCTTCGTCGCAAGAGCGGAGTACACGAACTATTGACGGAATAACAATCGTTCAGAAGATAAGAGGCGACCAAAAAACATTTGCAGAGGTGGCTGATTGTATGATGTTAATAGTTTTGCATGAAGGAGCAGAAAGCTAGTGTATTGGCGTAGTCTTTGATGTTAGACAAGATAGCTCAATAAAGAATGCTAAGAGAGATAGAGCGGAGAGGCTCAGAAAGCGGTCATGAGTTCAGATACATCAGGGTAGACAACAAAATATACCAGTGGCGGAAATTACTTTCCAATTCTAAGAATAAGTTGCTTCTAATTCCTCTCAGAATAGTGCGAAATTAAGATACAGAGAGACTCGCTGGAAAGAAAATCTTTGTAACAGCCGAGGATCGATGCTATGAAGTCTCTTCTATCGGAACAACCACAAGGAAGTTAAGGTCCACGCAAGAGGAAGCAGATACCAGAGTGTTACTCCATGCAGCTTTTTTTTTAATCAAGCCTCGTTTCGACAAACGAGTCTCATTTCGACGAACGAGTCTCGTTTTGACAAACGAGTCTCGTCTCGATTCTCGAACAAACGAGTCTCGTCTCGATTCTCGAACAAACGAGTCTCGTCTCAATTCTCGAACAAACGAGTCTCGTCTCGATTCTCGAACAAACGAGTCTCGTCTCGATTCTCGAACAAACGAGTCTCGTATCGATTCTCGAACAAACGAGTCTCGTATCGATTCTCGAACAAACGAGTCTCATTGAAAATCGTTTATCGAGTGACGATTAAATCGTGACGATTAAAAATCGAGTGGTTTCCCAGAAACCGTGAGTGATCCAAAATGTTTCATACATTCTCTTCATCAAAATTTCGGAAACGTAAAGTGTTAACATAGCCTCGTAAATACCGTAAGTTATATTAATTTCATAAAAATGTACTGAACAAGATCCACATTTCTGGTGTCCATGTGCTAGTCTACTAGCGTTAATGTAGTCGTGGATGTTGAATCATTTTTCTAATCGATTTGTTTTTCTCAATTGTTAATTCATTTACCTGTGTAATTAGGATAGATGGCACATTTATAACGTCATGTCCCTTATCATCCTATAAGTCAGAACTTTGCTATTCTTTCTATTTTACAGACTGCTGATCAAAAACAATCTTACATATATTGCCAAAGACGTTTTTGATGAGACTCCCCGCCTGAAATCATTGTAAGAACAAACTTTGGTTCTGAGATTTTTCTCATATTATTTGTATCATTTGCTGTATCGTGTGCACGTTCAAGAGAGGATAAAGTGCTATCTGCTATCCTCTTTTGGTATTTTAGATAAGCCTTAATACATAAACTACCATATCTATTCTGTTAACACAATGACAAAAAAAACGATACGTAATTGCTCGTATTTCGCAACTTCACGGAGGTATTTCACGTAAATATATATGTGTCGGTTTTGAAAATAAATAACAGATGTCGTTATATAGAACAAATTTCTCCTCTCTTCCTTTCCTCCTTCCTAAATCATCAACTTTGACATAGCCAGAAATTCCGAATCGCGCGTGCGCAATAGACAACAAGACTTAAATTTTAACGATATTTTAAACTTGCTAAAGAATAGAAGGATCCATATGGGATTCGTATAAAACCAGTTTATAAAATTCGTATTAAACCAGTTTATAAAATTCGTATTATGGACGTAACCTCACCATCTCAATACCAGTTCGAATGATACTCATCTGTACTTTCATTGCAGTATCACTTTGCTTTGGTAAAACAAATACTCGTTGCGGTTTTCTCGGTTATTACTTGCAACGTTTTATTTCGAAGAAATGCTCTTTTAAGCACACAAAATGGCGCCTACCTCCGTAAATGCTACTCTAACCATCTTAACTCAGACGAAATCCTCTAGTGGTATCGATCCATCCCAATCAAATTATGTAAGTTCAAAGATGTCCTTCCACGTTTACGGCAAATCGGACTTTGTAAACCCTGAAAACATTGTGGCTTTCTTTCAGCAAATACGAACGCATCCACGAACAGTAATCTTACTTCGATCGCGCAGAAGAAAACAGTCTTAAAGCCTCTCTTGCTCGTACTAAAAGCTGTGCAAAAATGATCGCCATTTTAATACAAACAGCTTAGTGACAGATAAGACTGTTAACTACATGGGGTGATTACGAGGCTGGAGGCTCAGTGCAACAGGCCTTTTTGGTGGGAATTTCAAAAATTGTTTCTGGTTTCACGCGAAAAAGAAAAACAAAACAAGAATAAAAAGTGTCTGATCGCCACCCGGTCCGTGATCCTCCTCGTATATATTTGCGAACAAAGCAACGTGATGGTGGTAATAAAGTTGTGTTCTTGCTGGCAATTAAGAATATCGCACTGATACAGGGGCACAAATTCAAAAAAGAAATCCCACGCATTGCATACATTGACATGTTAAATGGAATCATCCCTGGCCATGCATTAAAGATCAGTTGAGAGAGTGATCAAATTGAAGGCCCACTTTCAAAGTGCTATTCTGCTGCTTCAATCACAAATCAGATTCTGAACAGAAAAGGAGATTGGGAATCCACAGAGGAACTGGAATTCCAGACTTCAAAACAAAACAAGCAAAAGCAGAAATTAAAAGAACTAAAGTCTCGAGCACAGAAGGCACTTAATCTAGTAGAAATAATTGGCCTGGATTTACAGCTCTTGAAACTTAAAGACCCTAACAGTACTGATAGTTTTTCTATAGATTTCTCAACTACAAATCCTCCTAATCCACAACCAGAACATGGTAGTGTGGCTTCCCCAAAATCGAAATATGAATAACTTCATCCTGATGACAAAAACACAGTGGAGAGCGTATAAATTTTCTTATTTGCATTCAATGATGAATGAACAGTTACTGAGGCAGGTAAAATGTATGCGTACAGAGATGTATGTTGACTTACAAAGCAATGTGCCTCGACAGATTTGAATGCACTCTTACAAAGATTTATGTACACAGCCAACAAAGTTAATATTTACAGATTTGAATGTACACTTTCAAAGATGAATGTACATTTAGAAAGTTTATGTGCCTTTTTAATACAGAGTTGATTGAACACTTGTAACAAAGCTGTACATACTAAGAAAGATGAATGCACACTTGAAATTGAATGTATTTACTGACCGCTTACACTTGGCATATCCATCTCAAAATTTGTACGAAATATTTTCCACTGTCTCATGCAAAAGTCATAACTTTTATTTAATCTGAAAAGAACTTATTAGAATATTTCTTTTATTTTGAAATCACGTATATTATTACAGACCCAATTGCACTTTGCTCAGTTCAATTGCCCCAATTAATTCAATTAAAGTAGCTCTTCATGATTCAATCATTTAAAGCCACTTCAGTAAAATCAAAAGAAATGTTCTCCTGATAAGCTCTTGGTAACAAAGTAGAAATCCCACCCATACCCATTTAATACTTCTTTGGGGACCAAGAAATATACGTTTTAACCGTCATAGGGTAAAAAACTTTCATTCCTTGGCCATGAGAATCCACCCAGGATCTCACCCAAGAGGAAACTAATCAGCATCGAAATCATCTTTTTCAAAAAAATGTCCGTCTATCCCTCGACACTCCCTTACCAGCAAACAAGAAACGAAAAACATTCCCGAAAAACCAACCTTAAAGGTAAACGTGACCGCGATTTCAAGTGCCGTTCGACGGCCACCCGAAAAGAACACACATTTTCTGGAATTATTGCAACGTCCGGGCTTCGCCAGTTGAATAGTTCCTCGCATCGAGGCAAGATACCCTCCTCTGGCTCCCACGAGGCTTCGTAAGGCAAGTAGCCCTTCCATTGCACCAAGTATTCTACCTAATTAAATACAAGGCAAATCCTGTGCTGATTTCGACTGAATTCAGTTAAAAATATATAAACACAAGCGAGCACGTGCGAAGACAGGCACTACGGCGAAACACTTACCGTTTCATCTGTTTCCTGTCTTTCGACAAGCCTTTCGACTTCCCAATAAGTCGATCTTCAGTACTAGATTAATTTCTCTGGCTGGACAAAGTCGGCATCCGCGGATTAGATGGCATTTAACATCAAAATATACCCTTTCGAAAGTCTCCCGAGCGACGCCATTTTGGTTTAACTAAAGCGTTTACTTTAACAGATGAACCATTCACACGCTAGCTTTCTTGAAAGGCTATCATGTGTGCTGGCGCGTAACAGAAATAAGCACCACCCACTTTGGTTCGGAATTTCTGGCTATGATAACCATCTGATTGTCAGTGTAATAAGAGAACAACCAGAACCAATGTTCTTCGAGGGTAAAGTATGCTAAGGACTATCGAAATGGCTTAAAAATTCTATCAAATATTTATTCGCTTATTCCAAATTCCTATTTGCAATTGCACATGCATTTATGTTTGTTGTGCAAGTTGAGAATTTGTTTCACCGAAACAAATTTTTCCCGCAGGTTTCTTCACAGTAATGCAATTACAAACATTGAAAAGAAGACTTTTGACAGACTCGCACTGAAGCAATTGTGAGTAAATTGAAGAATACAGTGATTTCCTTTGAACCTAAAACTTGGAATGTGATACATTGACAAACTGAATTTTTTTTTTCTTTGCTGTTGTTTAGGTGTCAGCTGATGCCATACGCATAACTAAAAAAATCGCACCCACCATTTCTCTTGATATTAGAAGCTTTAGCATGACATTTCTTGTTTACGGGTATATACACGCTTCATTTTCAGAACCATCTTTGACAATCCTTTAAACTCATTACCAGATGGAATGTTCGACGAAATGGCAAATCATACTAAAGTGTAAGTCAAGGCGTTTGGCCTAAAAGCTCGTAGATTTTTTTAAAAGTTTTATTTAAGAAACTGATGTTAGTGGGATACTTACAAATTCTAGATACTCCTAGATATACTTTGTATACTCTCGAGTTTACCTGGAAATTTTGGGCTGATTTTCATGGGTTAACATAGTCATCTCTAAAAGTATTTAAACTTACGCAAGAACACGACCAAAAAGTTATGTATATTTTACGATTAGCTGAGAACACCTCTAACACAGAACAAACCTATTTATATCATATTATTCATTATCATCTCCATCATCATTATCGTTGTATCGTTGTCGCCGTCGTCGTAGACGTCTTCGTCGTCATCAGCGTTATCGTTACAGTTGTAAAATTTGTGTTTTTTTTTCCTTTTCCTTTTGATACGGCTTCACGTTCTTAGCCATATTGGTACGTATGAAGTATCTCAAATCGTTTTGTTGTTGTTGTTGTTGTTTTTTATCTTTAGTAGCCCTCATTATCCAGTAGGGGGTAAGGCAGGGTAGATAAAGGGAAATGGACTGTCAGCTGAGGAAACCCGAGTACGCTATGGCGACATAGACTACATGTCATTATTCTTTTAACCAAAATCATGTTAGTTTTTGCACCCAAAAGTTTTAAATTCAACTAATTTACAGGGCATTAACGTGTAAAAATCTTCGTCAGCTGCCTCTGGGAAAGTATATGTCTCAAATGTAAGTAGGCCTCAAGTTTCATTTTATTTTCACGCTGTAGAATGATAAACATCTGCACTGACCTCCTAGCGGCCCATTTGACTTTCAGGGGTTGAATAAGTTTAATTCTTAAAATTCAGCCTTTGCCTTGTCGGATCTATTCATGATGTAATGCAATTCCTGAGAATGGCTCTTGTGCTGGATGACGTCATTTAGTGAAATTCTACCCCCTCTCCCCCTCCCAGGCAAACTACACATGAATCGCAGCCACTTTCAAATTATTTACATGGGCGTACTAGTTTAATTTCAGTGCCGTGGGAATACTTACTTGGTTAAAATTCATCAGTGTACACCCGGAAAGCCAACTGGGTCCTGCGCCTCACTGGGTTTCATCCGTCTCAAAACCAAACCGCGCTTATGTAGTTATTTTTACCTCGTTTCCAGATCTCTCATGTCACGGGTAGGGGGAGGTCAGTTCTGACAAAAATTTTCAATTAGTATTCCATGAATATCTTCTTGCTTTCCATTAGAAAGGATATGAAAATAACAAAATACTTTGTAATCAACTTTTAAAACAATTTTGATCGTAGTCATTTATCAGTGCCATCGACTTTGGCTATTAGTCTCTTCACGGGAAAATTACAATATTATTTTAAACGTAGCTTTTTATTTATTGTAATTGTCCAATCCTCAGTGAGTGTACACCCCCGACATCTCTGCACGTCATTTTGGACAACGACCAATATGGCTTCAAATTGTACTTTACACGCTCAGGTTTTGTGTGTCATGACTGTCCATCCTACAAAAAACACAGTCTACAATACGGATGTGCAAATTGCAGCCTATGTCCAGTTGGTACCTGTATGTATAGTGATGAAAGCCGCTGTCTACAGTGTCCTGCAGGTAATGGGAAGAAACAATTATTTCATCGTTGATATACATATTGTAAAAGACAAGTCACAGGGAATCACTTGAAGCATTGTGCGCTAAAACATGTTTATATAACAGAGGAGAAAACGTTTCGTCCATACATTTTCAGTACTTGTTCATCCAAATGGAATTCAGTCAAACCCCTTTCTTTCAAAATAAAAAAAAAAACAGGATTTTGAAAAAGTTATAAACGATAATCCATTTCTAATATAATTACATTAAATAAGAAAGTGACACTGGTTTGACAAAAATGAATGCATGTCATGTGATTCGTGTGATACTTTCTGGTGTTCTGTAGATTCTTTATGTGTCTATATAGGCTAGATGGTCACCGGTACTGGCTTCAGCTCTTTAAGATATGTGTACGAAACCTGACTCCTACGTACATCATTATTCCCTTACTGAGCCAAATTACAAAAGTAAAAAATTGAGAAGACGAATTTCAGTGCGATTATTGTTAACAAGTAAATTTGGTTCGCCAAGAAAAACTGACCCAATTGATAACGAGAAACGACTGATCAGATGCCATCTAAATTCTTGATCACCTTTTTTCCTTTGCTTTTAGGCACACGGTTGAATTTTGATGGAATCATTAATTTTTTTTTCCTTTAATGTATTTTTTCACTTATTTTGTAGATGGCTTTGGTAATTGAACGGTGCTGGTATACCGTGACATGGTTTTCGCAAGGGTATAATTCTTTTATCAGAAACGAATTGGAAACAAACAATAACATTTATAAAAGTTGTTTCTATGCTGTAATTGGATGTAACAGTTGACTCTCCTCTAATGGGCCAAGAAAATCCACCGGTATAATGTATTTATGCTCTATAATATCTTCACAGGGGGTTTTTATCAGGATGAAATGGGACAAGTTGATTGCAAAAGATGCAGTATTGGTACATTTGTTTCTGAACAGCGACGTCCTGGGACCAAGGCTGCCGACTGCGTGGCATGTCCATACGGTAACTGCTGTGTTTGCTTTGGGCAAACTGCACCTTTTTTCAATTCAAATGCGCTTAAGAATAATCCTAAGATTTTTTCCTTTTTTTTCTGAAAAGACGATTGATTCAACCTTTGACAGTCACAATCGCCAAATTTTAGTTCATCACACAAAACATATTCATCGAAAATGGATTATCCGGAAGAGTACTCGTTTAATTATTTGTTCAGAGAAGAATCAGGAGATGTCTTATTCGCAAGATAATAGTTATTTAATTCACTGGTGAGATCTTATTTCTCTGTAAACTCAGAGAAAAGAGGAGGTGAATTCCTGTAAAAGCCCTTCTATCGAAGTTATGTTGTTTCAACAGATTGGTCTTCGCCATTGTACAAAGTAGTTGCTTGAAAAGGAACCATTCTTTTTCAGGTACGCTTTCCAACGAGACTGCTGAATATCGTGCATGCAGATGCCTACACCAATTTTATCGATTGGATCGTTTCGGCTCGTGCTCAGCATGTCCACCATACGGTTTTGTTTGTGAGAAGGACACAGCAATACTTGCTCCAAACTACTTCTGGAAATGGTCAAATCAGTCGGAGAAAGTACTTTTCAAAGGTTTCGTTAATAATATCCATTCTCCTGGACCAGACTACAACCGCTCCTTTTCAACGTTCAATACTTTACTTCCAAAGCCACTCAAATGTCCCCATGCAAAGTCCTGCCGGGGTGGAATTGACTCAGAATGCCATCAAGGATATCGAGGGACTTTATGTGCAACCTGCTCGGAAGGCTTCTATTTTCGCTTTAACTCTTGTTTGAAATGTCCTCGGTTAATTGTAACGGTAACTTCATCCATCTTGGTAATTGTTCTTTTTGTTGCTGTGTTTCTAATGGTTCTTCTGGGTGACTCCAGACGTGCAAAGAATAACCGGACAGTCGCAGATGTCGTTATGTCGTGCTTTAAGATTGTGATTGGCTTTTACCAAGTCATTGCTGGTATTTTCTCGGCATTGGCGAAAGTCCAGTGGCCAGTCGTTTTAATCTCAACGGAGAAGGTTCTGAAAGTATTTGAAGGGAACATCTTGCAGTTTGCCCCTCTTAGTTGCATTCATACTTCTCTACGGCTCGATCAGCTTGGAAAGTTCACGATGGTTGTTGTCATGAATGTCGCGCTCGTTGGCTTGATTTTCTTGTATCTATTTCTTAAAAAACGCTACATCATGAATAAGGAGGACCTTTGTGGACACCAGAAAGTTATGGAAGTTAAGAGTTTGAAGAAATCTTGCTATCGGAACATTTTCCTATTGTTGTTGACGACCTACCCCACGACAAGCAAATCGATAATTCAGATTTTACCTCTTCCCGGTGCCTGTGTAGAAACATGTTTCACAGACGACAAGAGCGACTGTATCTTCCTGCTGAGAGCTGATTACTCCATCCAGTGTTTCACTCCTCGCCACAGCTTGTATTGGCTCATGGCCTCTATTTTGGCATTATATCCCGTAGGATTTCCACTTTTGGCTTTGTTTCTCACTTACAAATATCGTGAGTCCCAGGAATACGAAGCCATTTCTTTCGGACTCAGAGTGTTCTTTGAAAACTATAGGAATGAATTCTGGTTCTGGGAAATCACAGAGATGTATCGAAAGCTGATTCTAACCTCATTGATTTTTCTTTTTGGATCAAAGAGCCTTTCTCAAATCGGTATCACGGTTCTGACAGTTAGTATCTTTGGAGTGGTCTACAGCCTATTCCGACCAATCAGGGATAAGTTTGAAGATCTCTTGCAAATATTTAGTCTTTGGATAATTTTCTTTGACGTTTGCCTTGGTGCAGTTTACACAAACTGGGACGAGAGTCAAGGAGAGGGCAAGAACGACTCAATCTTTGTGAATGTCCTGTTCGTGGTCCTTAACGCCTCTGTATTGTTGCTTGCCATTGGTAAGTGCCTGTGCTTCTCTGTTTTATTCAGTGTAAATTTCAGTCATTCGAATACAGGCAGTCCTTTTCGGCGAAGTCCGTCACGCGAGTCACAAAATACTACCGCACCGTGGGGAACTCTGGGTGTGAAGTGCTCGAAAAGAAGCCGGACTGCAAATTAAGTTATTCAGCCATTAAATAAAGGGAGTAAGTCTCTAAAAAAGCGGTGGTGCTGCGTCGGTGGGAGAGTATAACAGTGTAATTTAGCTTTATCAACTGAGTTGATAACGTAAATTTACCTCCTTAAAGAGTTTAAAAGCTGACGTTTCGAGCATTAGTCCTTTTCCAGAGGGAATGCAGGAATTGAACATTAGAAAGTTTTAGAGGAAGACATAAAACTTCGGGATACGGGTGAATATTGGTTTATTATATAAAACCCAAACATTGTACCAACGAGACGTTAACACCCAAAACAATGAAAAATTTCGGAAGGAATAGGATTATACTGTCTTAACACCTTGAGTGAACAAATATTAATGAACTCTGCCCCCGATTTTTTACTCTTTTTACAGGAAAGGGAATTCGACGCGTGTGGTCCGTTCGTCAAAATGTAGCCTTCAATCTCACCCGATGTTTCAGTTTCCTTCGCGAAGCAGTTACACGTCTGAAAAATAGAGTGTTCACAAGCACAGGAACAGACGATGAACTTCGTGTTTTATTGTAGAAGGCAGCATTTAAAGAACGTCCAATTTTTTCTTAAAACTCTAATGCTTCACCCCGTTGAAAAACTTGCTCAAGAGGGCTATAAAGCTCAGTGTGCGGTACGATGTTGTCACTGAAATTTGATGCGAAATTTCTAGGTAGCCATTGATTGGCAAATAAATGCACTTTAAACTTTGTGAAAGGCTTTGAACATCACTCATGTGTCTCCAAAATACTTCGAGATAAAATCGTTAAAATTGTAGTCGACACAACAATAAGATTGAATCAGTTATTTCAATAAAATGTATAGTAAAAAAGGTTAAGAATGTAACGCTGTGTGCTCGGAAAAGAAAAACAACACTAAAGAACAGTTGCTGGGAGTTACAGTGAGCCGTTTTAACAATTTACCATCGGAGACTGGATCACCGAATGTGACGTGCAAGCTGTAAAAATAATCTTAGACGTCATCTTGGTAATTATTATTTACCCTATTATATCAAAAAAGCGCCCACCCCTTAATCCCTAATTTAAATCAAACGCCCTCTCAAATAACCGCCGCCTCCCCCCCTCCCCCTTTCTTCCCTCACTTTCTTTAATAGTGGGGCTATAGAGAAAAGCTGTAACAAACCTACGAAGAACTCAAACGTGACCCGACTCTTGCACTTCAACCCAAACTTAATAGCACATTACTGACACTCAAGAAGACAAACGCCATTGACACCCAACTCTACTACCGACTACGGTGCTCGGTACCACAGCCACCGAAACGTTACGTAATTTTTAAACCAAGACAGAAGAAATTTAACTCCAGCATTTCTCTCTCCTTTGGGGGTAAACCCCTACAACAATCTAACATAACTAAATTCCTTGGGGTCTATATTGATGACCATCTTACTTGGAAACACCATATCAGCTATGTTTCTAAACAAATCGCTAAATCAATAGGTATTATATTCAGGTCTCGCTTTTTCCTATCCTCTACAACCAAGCTCACTTTGTACTACACCTTAATTTATCCCTATATCGTCTATAGTAACTGTGCCTGGTCGTCCACATACGTATCTAACTTAAATAGAATTTATTACTTGCAAAAGCGAGCTGTGCGGGCTATCACCAACTCAGACTATCGAGCCCATTCCGCTCCTTTATTCTCCAAACTAGGAATTTTAGATATTTTCCGAGTCAACACGTTTGAAATCGCCAAATTCATGTTTTATTATAGAAATAACTTATTGCCTCCATTGCTTCTCAATCTTTTTGTAACGAATAGCCAAATTCACAACTATGGTACCAGAACAGCCAGTAATTATCGAACGCATTTGTGCCGTACAAATCTCAAGCAATTTACAATTCTTTACCAAGGTGCTAAAATTTGGAACTCTCTTCCTGTTTCAGTCACTCGTTCGTCAAACCTTCTTAGTTTTAAGACGAAAATGCAAGAGGTTTTACTTAAATAATTGGCCTAGCCGCACATTCGCAGCACTTTTTCTTTACTTTATTTATTAATGTAAGTGAGGTGGCTCTCCCATAAGCCCGGTGGCTTCCTGGGTCCCCTCACCTTCTAACTATAACCGCTGTAAATAAATTTTTTGTATTGTGTAAATAAGGCAAAAAAAAAAAAAAAAAAAAAAATATGATGATGATGATGTCAACAATCACATTGCTGAACATCATCGACTTACGAACCACACTATTGATAGAGACTCAGAACAATGCCTAACCTACAGCACCAACTACCTTCAACGACTGACTCTGGAAAGCTGGTTTACTAACTTGGAGCAGACTCCTTCAACAGGTGTCAACCACTAGCGGCACCATACAAACGACTCATTCACGACATTAACAAACGAACCGAACAGAACGACCTAACTTTACTAATGCATCGCTCTTAGGAATAAAAACACACAGTCGAAACACAGTGCATCACTTGTTATCCGACCGCTTACTATGTTGAAAAGATCCCAGTCTAGCGACTTATCCACTTCTAGGTTTATGTACTACATATAAGAGAAGCTCAAGGCTGCACACGCCCGATCCAAGGAGCACAGGCTCCACTGGGAGTACTTTTGTGTTTGTTTGTTTGTTTTTTTGTCCAACAACCCCATGTGGTCACTTTTACGGCTGTGTCGAGGCGTGTGGAGTAGTGCCACCATGGACGAAGGCAAGCAAGAGGTAGGTATCATTTCATGAGTCAGGTAAGAGAATAAAAAACGCGACACAATTCATAGTTCGACCTAAGTGCTCCACATTTCAAGGTCAAAGTTTCGGGCGCTATTCGAGACGCGTGACCTCCTACGGATTCGTGCCATATTTGACCAACGACAAGTTACTTTAGCGAAGTTTAGTTTGTCACGCGTTCCCCTCAATTTTTTTTGGTAACTCTCTATCATTTTGCAAAACAATTGATTTATCAATTTTTCTTGGTAACTCTCTATCATTTTGCAAAACATCTGATTTATCAATTTTTTTTAAACTTTTTTTTCGAACTGTGATCCGATCCGTGAGGTTTTTGGGCATGAAAAAGCTTCCAAAGGGGCCTGCGCTCAATTATGTCATGCAGACTTCATTATAGCTTGTGTCGCGTACCCAAGGGTTGGGATTACGTTGAGTGTCAACCACATATACACATCCGTCTCATTCCAGTTTTTATTGAGTACAACGTGTTACAATGCGGTGAAAACTAAAAGGAGATTTATGATTGCGTAATCAGAAATGATTCTATGGAGATTACAAATGAATGTAACGATAAAAAAGGCGATTAAATGTACAAAGGAAACTCACGTTTGATCCTGCGTAAAAGGGGTAAAAGAAACTCCGTGGGAAAGTGACTCCAGTTACTCCGAAAACTCCAATAACTCCGATAGAAAACTCTAGATGGATATACTCCGACAACTTACTCCGACACTCCGATATGTGATACTACAGAGATTATGTAAGCAACAGACTTTAAACATGATAGGCGGCTAATAACACGATCAAATACGCTCTGATAAATGATTAAAAGAATGAACAATGAAACGATAATAGAATTTAAACGATAGTAAATAATCACACAAAACAAAACAGTTCAGTTCATTTCAGTTCAGTTCGCTTGCTGAACGTTCGTCACAGCTTGTCACGCAAAATTTCTGATTTTATGTAATATGGACCAATCCATGATGGGTGATCCGATCCATGATTGATGATCCGATCCATGATCCGGCTCGTGATCCGATCCATGATACTTTCCGGTGCGGTCTACATTTTGTCGACGCCGCGTTATTCACATCACTCAAGATCATCTTAGGTCAATTGAGAAATCACTAAAGTTTATTTCAGGTCATTCCTTGTTTTAGTAACTGTGACCAAAGATAGTTTAATCTGCAGACATCACCCAAACACTACACAGATGGTAGCAAGCACTAGAAAACAAATTTTAAGTACATTCATGTAAACTGCTATTAAAGAAAAATATTAACATGGCAGATTTACAGTTTTATTACTTCAAAATAAACTTGTAAATCTTGACGTATCTATTTACTTGTGTCTCTCATTTCTTTCGAAGACACAGAAAACGAGGTAAGCAGTGTATATGTCCTGTCAATTGACTTTATATTACAACATACAGGTAGAAATCAATAAACATGAAAAAAATCTGATGATTAGAACTTCAAAAAATACTCATCAACAGAAATGCGTACACCAGTATTATGAGTGTTAGCGAACGCATTTGTTTTTTTCTCTAGAGCCAATGTGGCCGTATTAGAAGATACTGTTAATAGTGATGATAATGTTTGTAGATAGAAATAAGAGAGATGGTAAGTTTTGAGCTTGGTAAATAAATAGAGCAATAATTTTTTCGTCTTGTCACGAGCGTGGGACAAAGAAATTTTTCTTTGGAATCCATCCGTTGCAGAGGTTGTTTGTTAACACCTTGCACCCAGCTTCTGGTTGTGCTTTATCTGGTGATACAACGTAAAAATTGCCGCTATCCGTAACTCTAATGAGGCTATCTTGACCTTCTAGTTTAGCATGGTGCGATCCTTCTTTGATCAACAGGAAGAGAGCTTTCTTTCCGTACCAGTGGAAGATGAAGAACAAAAGATCGATCTGTCAACGGCCAAGATAAAAATGCTCTCGTGTATTGCCATCAGGCAATTCCTCCGCAATCCGGTCGGGTCAATAAAGGCTTTGTCTCAATCATCACGAGCCGGAAGATTTCGAGGATCTAACAACTGCGCCAAAACATTGGCGGGGAACGGCATATCTGCCGTGTAAACTTTTTGATCGGGACTTCGTCGCCATAGATCGTCTTAATCCAATAGGTGTAGCCAGGGCCTTGGTCTGTTACACTCCATCCATCACCTTTATATATCTAAATCCTCTTTAA